TTTTGCCATTATGAGGTAACTTTATAGAAAATATCGGTGGTACTTCTCTGTGCAAGCAGGTTCTTTTTCCCTTTATTTTTCAAAATTAAATAGCTATGATACAAGAATATGATTAAAAGTTCTTATGTCCAGAGACAACAACAACAAAAAAATGAGTTTGTAACTCTGATCCATCTGTAATGGTTCTGTGACTTTATCAAGTTATTTCATATCTCTAATCTTAATTTACCTCATTATTAAAATGGAGATAAGTATATTATTATAAGGATTACAAGTAATACAGATAATTCATGTAAAGTTCTGGAGACAGTTCATGAAACATAGCAAAGGTAAAATAATGTTGACTAGGATAATAATAACAATTATTATCATTATGGTGTTTTTTTATCAGTGAGACAACTATCATAAATTACTGATTGAAAATATGGGAAAATCTTCAAAATCTTTTAATTAAATAGCAACATTTTAAACTTCATTAGCAGGGAAGGTTATTTATCCTGCTCATAATTTTTGGTGTACAATCAGAAAATATTTCATAGTCAGTCACCAGACTTGATGAAGCCTTTCTCTAATTATCCAGAACAAACTTCTAGATCATTGGGTAACTGCCATCAGGTTAACCTGGCAGTAACTCTGAAGAAACGATCCAGAGGCCTGACATGACTGTGGAGCCCCAGCTGTAGTGAGCCATGGTGAGGCTCAGAGGGGCCTGGCAGACTCAGAAGAGGATTTTCCATTCGAGTATAAGAAGGCAAAGCAAATACTTTCAGATAAAGCATCATTTTGAATTCAAATGAAGAGCAACACTTGGAGCTCTTCGAATGCCAAATGTAATCATGACTGGACCTTCACACTGTGGTGGTTTCCACATGAAATGCCTCATCGTCACCTGGCTATCTTCTGTGTGTCCTTCAAGACTCATCTCAAGCATACTTTCCAGTTTATCAGGTTTGGCATGCAAAGCCAATGCAATTTGCCACCCCAGATTTATAACCTGTTTTCAGGTTATAAATAAAAGAGTATTGGGTCTGAATCAAAAGGGCAGATTTGAGATTTTGGGTCCGGCATTTATAATCCCTGTAACCTTCGGTAGATCTTCTGATTGAGTTTCCCTGACCCTGGATCTCCTTGTCTGAAAACTGATCCTTTTAATACCTTTAAAATGGAGTTGCAAAGATCATATGATAGAAGGTAAGAAATTTGGAATGTCAAGACCTTATGTAAACATAAAGCAAACTCTTCTATGAATAATACAGAGGCAAAATTATTCAAATATCAGAAAACTAACATGGAATTTTTACTCTTTAATTTTAGATTTGAGTTGTCTTTCTCTAGGGACTTTGATAACATACCCCAATAATGAAATTAAGTAATACTCTTTTTAAGAGATAATATACCACAACCCTACTGAAAACTTTTTCTCAAATTAAGAAAGATTAAACTGCATGCTTGAAACTGATTTTAAGTTATCAATTATCAATATATTTAAATATCATTAAACATTCAAAATAAATGTTGTAGCTTATTGGAAAGCATTTTAAGTATCTATTTATGTAATATGTTTTACATTTTTCTTATATAAAGCACAATTTTCTCCTGTTTGTATCTGATAAAAGAGTACTCTATTACACATTGCCTCCATTGGGACTCTAGGAGGAGAAAGAAAGGAGATGAGGATGTACTGGATTTCATATTTATTAGCACAAATAGCCACTCCAACAATTCCTCTTCAACATGAGGTGGTGGAGTGGGAGGCAAGAAATAGAGTGGGAGTTAAGGAAGGAATAATAATAGGGAAATCACTTAACAATCACTTATGGATGTCTTCTTGACATCTTTTATTATGCCAGATGTAAAATATATCAGTAGGTTTCTAACTACAGAGAGAATAGGAGTGTTAGGGTAGGTAAGGTCATGGTCAAATGGTAGGGTTTTTTAAAACTAATGACTTTTTGGGCCTCCCCGGTGGCACAGCGGTTGAGCGCTGGGTTGCGAAGCTGCCCGCAGCCTCTGCAGCGCCGGTTCGATCCCCGGCTGCTCCCCGGCCACTGGAGGAGGGTCCCACATGGCGCGCAGACCTCTCCTGCCGCCCGCTGCTCCCCTCAGCAGTGTACTTCGGTCCTTCTGCCTGCTCTGCTCCCCACTCTGGCTCTGGTGAAGTCTCTCACCCTCCACACTTCTTACTGTACCCAGTGCTTGTATAAATAAATAAAAATAAATCTTAAAAAAAAATAAAAATAAAAATAAATAAATAAAACTAATGACTTTTTAACTTTATTTTAAAATAATGTTGAAAAACATTTTAAATAAAATCAATTTGTGTTTTCTCCATGAATTTTTCATATTTTTACTCAACAGGTATCAGCTTTTGTTGTTTCTCTATTTAAGTACTTTCCAAGACTAAAAAGGAAGAGAGAGACCAATAGGTGAAGTGGGTGCAAAATGTGTTAGTTCAAAGTAGGTATTCACCCCAAGGTTCATCGGGGTGTGAGGTAGGCCTGGATATCCCAGACTTTCCAAAGATTTCTCTGTCTAAAACAGGTCACAGCAGAGCAATGGACATGAAGGGACACTACAGAGTGGGACAGTGAATACTTTATTTGTAACTAATATGTACAGATGACAGACAACCAGACAAACTTCCCTATTTGATTGCTGGTATTAGCAAAAGTTCTGAAATCTTGTTACCTTTATGCAACTCGAAACTAGAGAAATCCCCATGACTGAATGAAGATAAACTTTCTAATTTTCAAGTAAAATGGAGCTCAATGTTTAAAATTAATTTTACATAAGAAAAATTTTAAAATAGTTGACTTATGGAAAGATTTTATTTTTTTCCAAGCTGCAGTAGCAATAGTTAAAATGTATTGAGTTCTTACTATATGCTGGAAAACTCTGTGGATATATTTGTGCTGATAAGCTCATTTAAGTAGGACACAATTCTGTAATATAGGCACTATTTCATTTCCATTTTACAGATGAAAAACAATGTGAAGCATGGGATGGTTAAGGGACATGTCCAATATCTACTTAGTTAAGAGCTATAGGCAGGCTAGAAGCTAGTTAAGCTAACGCTGAGTTGCCATACATAGTTCCTACTCAACATTGTATTACCCTCTCTACATTGAACATTATTTCTATAATAAATATTAATATTTATTTTAATGCTAAATTCATTAGATGTAATATAAATGTAAAACCTCTAACATAATAATTTTAAATAATTAAATAGTGTTAGTTGAGAGTCACTTTAGAAAGAGGTATATAGTTCGAACTTTTCTTTTTCAGAACAAAGAAATAGTCCATATGTAAGTAATATTTTATGGTTAGCACAAGAGCAATATTCAATAAAGGGGGATTTCAATAACATATTTGGAAGATAAAATTTGGCATAGCAAATGAATCAGATTATGTGACAACATGGGAAAAAACTATTGATTTCTATTTAAATGAAACGAAAATGTAATACTTTTAGTAAACAAAACATGATTATCCAAATGAGAGAAGCCAGAAATAAAATATCTAGCAGTCCTCCATATTAATGTGAATAGCTGTGGCCATGCAGAGCTTTCCAGAAGTAGTTTACTTAACCTGATAATTGCTCTAATCAAAAGTTCCTGAGCAGTTGAGTAAATGACTAATATTCTTGAGCAATTTCATCTAGAAAAGTATAATAACTGAAATAGGGTGTGTTTAAACCCTGCACTCTTCTTTGTCTGCTCTAAATAGTTATTTGGATGACAGCTTCTTTGAGTCAGCAATACAAACTCTTCATATTATTATTGAATAACTTCTATTAAATCCCTCACATCACTCACTGCCTGACCTTTCCTACAAAAGAAAACTGAAAACACCTTTCTCATAAAGAGTCACTGCTTACATTGAAAAATGATTGGATTTTTGTTCCAGGCCACATTCTGTTTCATACATTTACAGAAAACATCTATTATTGAGATTATCACTTTCCAACTCTGGAAAGCCGGTTATCACTAGCCTAAATGATGACTTTCAATAACTTACAGCATAAATAAACACTCAAGTTCAAAATGTTAAATGGTAATCTTTCTAACTAGGACCATTCAGGCTAACTCACCTACCCTTGTACTTAGGGAAGCTTGTATTTAGTCCCTTTTTGCCTCTTCTGAGCAATAAAGTCAGACTTCACAACATGGAATGCTACTTTTCCTCCTCCGATAGCACTACCTCAATCAAGAAAAGTTTGATGTCTGCATTCATTAGAATGATATGGTCTACTGGACATGAGAAATACTGACTTACCTCATTTAATGACCATCAAATGATAGCTTTTCAATATGACTCTCAAAAAGTTACTTTTTATTCTATTTTTCATACCACTCATTTTGGGGATTATTTTGACTTTTCAAACATACACACACAAAACATGAAATAAACAATAAGAAGTGATGGTTTGACATTTTCAGTTCAGGCAGAGACACATTCATCAATTTACCTGAAACGATAGTTTCTATTAAAAAAGAAATAAATTTGAATAATATACCATCTTTGGATAAACTCAAATTGTGTTGCTTAGGGTGTTTTATGATTGTTTTTGCTATTGCGTGTGAACAATTTCTGTGTTTAAAATTCTTCTCATGCACAGTCTTTAGTTTACCTAAAAATGTTTTTCTGTGCTATAATATTTTGAAATGAATAAAGACCTCCCCCAAAGTTGAAATATTTGTGATGAAAATAGCACAGATTTGAGGAAAATAATACATTTATGAAACCTCACTGTTATATTTATGTACAGACTAAATATACATCCAAATTGTTGATTATTACTTGTTTCTATTGTTCAATCAATATATTTTTATATCTGTGAAAATTATTTGAAAACTTTGTGCGGATAGAATGCATCATAATTTCCCCTCTAAAGTTAATGAACTTTTTTCATTTAGTGTCTCTTCACTGATTTGTAGGGTTTTCAAGAGTTTAAAGTTAAATAAGAAATATATATATATATATATATTAATACACACCTAGGTAGATGAGAGAGGGAAAATGTTGATTTTTTTCATAACAATGATGAAAAGTTTCCTGATTTTGCTTTTACTGCATTTATGATTTCTGGAATAGAGTGGAAGGGAATATTGTATATATGTATACATGTATACATATCCCATATGTACACAAACATACATGACATGAAATATATTTGCACACTTGCAAAAAAATTCAGTGACTTTAATATAACTGTCGTTTATCTACTTGTTGAAGATTCAAGAATTTGAAGTCGAACATTCTATTTCCTTGTCTTTCAATCAGTTTGATTTTCTAATTTAAGGAAAACTATGTCACTTATCTAACTTCTTCAGATATAAAATAAAGAAGACAATAAAGGCCTGTCACCCATTTCATTCTGTACTTCACAGAAATGTTAAAAGAAATAATAAGATAATATGTAATAGTTCTAATTCCTTAGAGATAACATATTACATAAATCTAAGTTATTACTATAGTATTACTTCAACAACATAGAAGGTGATAACAAAAGAATAGTATTTCTACATAGGTTTTTGTAAGCAAGTAGGCAAGACAATATGAACCTTAAAGCCAATTTAAATGGTTGGCATTATTGAACTAATTAATTTCTTAAAAGCATCTCAAAGTTGAGAAATTCATAAGTTACTGATTTCTCATGCTCAAAAGTCATCCTTAAGCTAGATCTCTTTAATGCCATGGCTCTATGTGAAAATCATTTTACATCATATTATGTCAGATACATATGAATACATATATCCAATTACTTCAATGAGTCATTATGTGGCTTAATAAGAGTTTTATCAAACTCCTGAATAAATCAGTACTCTAATAAAACAATATAGATAAGAAGCATTTAGTTACACATATATGCATAGGTATACTGTAAATCAAGAATAAGTGAAATAGTTAAAATTAATATGGCCAAGTCAACAAGTTTTTTAATTTTCATTCTGCTATAGAAAACTATAGGAAAACCATTTTAAATTAATAACTATAAATGCAGATATGTTTTATGAAAAGCAGTATTTTCTTATTAGATTGAACACTGATATATTTTCAAAATATAATGACAAAATAAAATCAGAGTGATTTTAAGAATTTTTAAATGCTATAGAAGCACCTAGATTAAGACAAATTCTGTAAAGAAAAAAGAAAGGGAAAAAAATAGTTGGTAAAGTAAATAGCATAGTGATAATAGAGTAATGGTTGATGTACCCCATCCTTATTCATTTGAAAATTTTGAGATTAATGAAAAAAATAGCCATTACATATCATTCTTTCCTTCAGAATATTAAATTATATAAAGATGTAATTTTCACTGCAACTGCTTCAATTATCACCATTTGAATGGGCACTCTTCAAACTGTTAAATATTCCACAAAGTCCAGCCTAGTAATATTATTTATTGAAATTCAACCAATTATCTTTGAAAAGAAAGAAATGACTGCAGTTCTTTGAAGTAAACACAGAGAAGCAATCAAGTGATTTGAGCACCTCGCATGTAAAGTTACCTGGTCACATTGGTAAAATAAGAGATGAAGTTACAGTTGTTACTATAGAATTTACCAAAAGGAGTCAAGATATACTATTGTCTGAGGTCAGAAGTCTAGTGAGACCCTGGTGAAGTTGCCTGTAATCACCCAGTCCTAGACTTCCCCCTTAGTCTTTCAGCCTTAGAAATCTTTCCTTTCTTCAGTATACTAGAAAAGGTTAAACTTTTTAAGGACAGATTCACATTTACCAGGTTTGTAAATTGGCATGTAAAATGCAAATTACAGTTTTATGATTTTATAATGACAAGCACAACTCTGAAGGGAGCTGCCATCCATGTTTTCCAGTAGTTACACTTTTCCTCCTTGTAATCACACCGGAAGGGTATTTACATTGTTCACCAGAAGAGCAATTTCAGGCCCTGAAATAGTCCATGTCAGAGAGAACTCTGGTGGGAGCAGTAGTGATTGTATCTCCCAATGAGCCTGATCACAGTACCACCAGCACTTGCTGGTATGTTGGGTTATAAAAGGTGAGGGGGAAAGAGGAATCAAGGATGGAAAGTGAACATCCACAGAGAATGCTTCTTAGAAATTCGACTACCAAGGGGAATAGAGACATAGAAAGTGGAATGCCAGAAAATCAGGGAAGTTTGCTTTGTTCAGTGGTATAGACTACTCTAGAATGCCTGAGAACCAACAGTGGAGGACTGCAGCATAATACATTCCATGGAACAGAACCAGTAGTCTCTGGCTAAGTCTCCAACAATGCAATAACAAGAATTCTGACCTGCCCACCTTCCCCCAGGCTGTTATAGTACTTCTTAATTCTCCATTCCCAGGAAAGTCTCATATGTCAGGAGACAGTCTGTGCAGCTACTGCTAGCACTGTTGATGGCTGCACCCCACCCCCCAGCCATGGTCTCTTGCCCCCATCCTCACTGCCTCTAGCACAACTGCTTGTCCAGATGGCACTTTAGCCTGAGCTGTCCCTGGGAAGACTTATTCCCCATGTCCCAGCCATGAGTCGATTATCTCCCTCTTCTAGGAACATTTTCCAAACCAGGAGGGCCCCTTTGCTTTGATTGCCTTATAGTCTTCACTTTAATTATGAATCAGAGATCCAAGCTACCTGAGTCAGAGCATAATCACAGTCACACACACCTAATACCACAAGTCTTCAGTGTTTCAATTGTATTTTGATACAAAACAAAAGGAAACCACCACATGCAACAGTATTTCTAAAATTTGTTTTCTGCTATCTATATCCCTCACAGGGATAGAGGATCCAATTACTTCTCTATTTTAAGTTTTCCTTAAAAATATGAAAATAAATCAAGCAAATTCTGTCACATTTTAATTGCACATTCTTGATCTGTTAAACTTTACTTCTGATCTTTCTCCTCTCAATTGAAAATTTTTATTTAAAAAATATGTTTTAGCATCTAGGATCTGGTAAAGGGAAGACCTTCTTTAGAAATCAGTAGAAAACTGGAAATATTACTCATTAATTTTTGTACTTACCTTGCCTTCATAGCCAAAGAAGGTATGACTTCCCCTTGATTTCTCCCCTTTCATCACATTCCTTACTGCATGACTTTCAGGAAAATTCCTTAATTTTATTATTATCCATTTTGTACTGTTTTATCAAAGAGGAACAATAATTTCTTCTATCACAGGTGAATCTGGGGAAACAAAATATGAGAATAGGTGAAAAAAATGGATATGATTTTAGGAAGGAAAAGTGAGGAAAGAGAAGCAGTTATTTATGCTATTGGCATTACTGCTGTGGCATTTCTGCTACTGATAAATGAGAAAGGTGAGGAATCTGACAAGCTTTATAGAATACATCATTTCATCATTAAAGTGAATGGCCCTGACACAAGTTCCTAAGGAAAAGAAGAGTGAGATAAAAGAAAATATTAGCAAGAAATTCCTAAAATGAAGCACGGGGAAAACAAGTGTTTGTGATTGATGCATGGGGAAACAGTTCCTCAGGAAAAAAATTAAAATTATTGGACTGACTTATAACTGGAAAATGAAAGATTAGACTGGCTGCTAAGGGATCTGAAACCTACTAGAGATTTGGAAAGAAATTTACAGATCATAAACAAAAAAATAAACTTCCTGCTATAAGTATAACTCAGAAGACAAAGGCTCCATCCAAGGACATTCAATATACTTTCTATTCTATCGTAAAACGATTCTTATGATCAGAAGAAAGGAAAGCATCCCACTAAGAATGAGAGAACTACAAGACTAACAACAATCTCTGAGCATATTAGAAAAGTGAGTATTCTTTGGCAAGAGAAAAAGTTTCTTTGGTGATACTGTATTCACAGAAATGAGCAAGTGGAGTACTAGTATATTAAATTACTAATTTATTATTTCAAATGAAATATTTTGAGGCCCTAGTTCTTGGGGAGTTTTAATTTAACAGTTTAGGTGAGAGAAAACTCCCTTATGAATCCTATAGTGTTACTACAGAGGCAGAGAACTGAATTTCTTGTGGCTTCCCAATATAAAGCTGAGATCCTCTATCATGGGGAATTTGGGAAAACTACAGATTTAGGGCACCATTCCCAGAAATTCTGATTCAGAAAGTATGGGACAAAGCAAGAGAGTCTGAAACTTGAACAAGGATCCACAACGTCCTAATCCAGGTCCCCCATGGACCACATTTTAAGACCTTCTAAGGAGTCAAGTGTGAATTTTTGGTGGACATTAAAGTCTAGCAACATACTAAGTATGAATTCTCTTTTCCGTCTTACTTCTCAGTATACCCCTCCACAACTTTCTTCCATAGCCATCCAGCCTATTTACCACCACATTCTGTCCCACAGATCTGCTCCTTTGTTTTAATCAAATATAAAGTTTCCCCCATTCCAGTGCATCAAAATTCTACTTTATTGTATATTCTGTCTCAACAGTTCCTGGGATTGAACTACCTTCCATTCTAAAATAAATCTTTTGCTTTATATTTTAAAATACCTGTTGTTTACCCCCTTAGTTCATTTGATCTTAAATTATAGATTATAGTACATTGGTTTGATAGCTGCTTCTTCCAGGAGATTTGAAGCCCTTTAAAGACAAATCCTTGCAAGCATTTTCAAAATGTATTTGCTTATTTGAATTTAAATCACTTACACAATGATTCAAACATGGTAGATCCAGATCTTCATATTCTTATGACAAGGAAATGAAAAAACTGATTATATAGGATCAATTGATATATTGAAACTGGAATATCTCATCTAATGGAATCTAGGCCTTCCCAAAATTATACTTAGTTGCTACTTCCTTAGGAAAGAATCTGAGTTGACTGCTCAGATCCTGAAAGACTTGTAGGATGCAGTCCTTCGTTCCTTCAGAAGAGTGAGGGATTGGTGGAGAATGATCTCCCAGGACCCAGTTGCTGGTCATGCCTAGAAATTGCCTGGAGAGAGCTTGCTTACCTAATAGGGCCCCATCTCTGCCTGCCACATGAAATAACCGATCCACTTGCTGAGATAAAAAGAACTCTATACCTCTACCTCTAATATACAAAAACTCTAAAGTAATGATGATTCTTTAGAGGTCCTGTAAGGTCAACTGAGGTTCCCATTGAGACTTCAGTGTTCTCACCTTCTCCCTTTGCCCAAACTTGTCCCTTCCTTCTTTTCTACAAGAATTGATGCACATTAATTTCTTCATCTGTTTCTGAGAGAACCCAACTTGCACAATTCCTTATATTTGCTTTCTTTACACCTAGAATATCACTCACCCTTATATAGACAGCACAAACATTACGAGAAAGAGCAAAGAATGCTTATTTAGTATTAATTGTGCACATATTACTATATACACCTTTTTTTTTTCATGTTAGTCTTCCAAGCATCTCAAATTCATCTGTGCCCCTGCACAAATATGACATCAGATCTCAATTCAAATATCATAGGATTTCCCTGGCTACTCTATCAGAAATAGCTAACCTCTCTATTGCCCCATTAGAGCTTCCTTATCCTGCTTTTATTTTAATTTGTGGCAATAACCCTAACCTGAAATTATATTATCTATTTTATCAATATTTACTATAGACTGGTATAAAGTTACTAAATTTTGGGCTTGTCACTCTAGTAGATTGCAAGATATATAGATTGCAAGAGAGAGAGAGAGAGAGAGAAGGCCTTTCCATGTCCTTCAGAGGCCTGCAACAGCTTTCTTTCTGGAAGATTGGCATGATGAGGGCAGAAATGTCTGACCCCAGAATTGGCAAAGCTCCAAAGACACTGAAATCCCAAACATATATATACACACACACACACACACATATATATATATATATATATATATATATATATATATATATATATATATATATATATATATAATTCAGGACAGGAGATTTGAAGCCCTTTGATGACAGTGCCCAAAGTTTGCTGGTCACTGTCTGAGTTCTTCACCTATGCACACAATTGCAAGACTACTCAGGCTAAGAAACAATAATGGGATTTATTTAACAAACAAGGGAAAACAAAGGGGAACTGAGACCACGAAAGGCCCTTTACCTCACCTCAAACAGTGTCCTGTTTTAAAGTCCTATACACAAGGCTCCCATGATGGCGTCTTCCTACCACTGGGGGACAGAACACGAGTCAGCCAGACAATAGGCTGGGATCCAACTCATGAAAAATAGCAGAATACACAACAGGAGATGCTCACCAGAGCTACCAAGATACCCCAGCACAGCACCAGACAATCGACACTCAACATGGCAGCTGCAGCACCCAAAGGACTAACAAATGACCAGACTTATGTGGCTCAGTGAGGCGACCGGCTCGGGTCTGCACCTTCCCTTCCAGGCTGTAACAGCAGCAAAGTTGGGTACAATTCCAGTCACTTGGCTACCTGCAAAGTCTCTGAACTTTTCCTCTCTGAAGTTGGCTGCTGGAAGCCTTTCCACGTCCTTCAGAGGCCTGCAACCAGCTTTCTGGAAGATTGGCATGGTGAGGGCAGAAATGTCTGACCCAGAATTGCCAAAGCTCCAAAGACACTGCAATCCCAGTGAATCCCCAAACGCTGAATCCCTGAGCTACTCTGCTGTCCCTTTTATTTCTTATCAGAGTCTCCACCCCAACCAATACTTTGTTCGCACTTCCCCTGGAGCTATTCATCCTCACCTGCACCTCCCTCCAAGGGGCGCCACCTGTAACAGTCTTTGGCGTCAGCACCCAGTTACAAAAGGGCCAGGATTTTCTTTTTCATTCTTTTAGCTCCTGCCTGGGAACAGATACATAGTACATCCTTAAAACATAATTGCTGAATGAAGGCAAGTTTCAACCTTATCCAGCAAATGAAATAATGTTGTAGGTAGATCAATCATGTCTTGTATAAATTCTTAGAATCTTTTTCCCCCATGAAATCACTTCCTAGTGTGAAATAAAATGACTAATAATTAAATTGGTAGAAATCAAAGACTGTGAGTCAGACAGGAAAGTTTTGTAAGAGGAAAGTTGACAAATTCTCAGAAAAGGTGAGAATGAGAGAGAGCTCATTCTAATAAGTAGAAAATTCTCTGGCCAATTTAGTAACTTTGCCACAAATGGTGAGCGTGGAGCATGATGGATAACAATATACTGTGATGCAGGGCATTTAGCAGTATAATGTGACATTAAATTCTGGAGGGGGAGCTTTTTGAAAAATCAGTGTGAAGACTCCCACTGTTGAAGCTGCAGCTGTTGTGTGGAGTGGCAGAGAGATGTTCACGAGAATTTTGAAATCTGTCTAACAAGACCCTCCAAGCCTGTGAACTCCCCGCCGCTTGCCTGTTAGCCTCCTGTCTGGCAGAAAGACTGCGTCCGCTGTGCTGACATTCATCACTGAGAGTTCTGGCCTGGTGCTGCCACTCCCAGGCCGACGTGCTCACTCAAAATCAGCATGTTGGAGCACCAGACAGAAGTTGTCTCTGGGGTGGAGAGCCGTTGAGGGGAGGAGGCCAGCATATTAGAAAAAGAGACTTTTTTCCCCCTAATCTGATGCCATTTTAGCTGAAAGCCAAAGATTTCAAAGTGGCTTACAAAAGAAACTCAGAAAAAGACTGCATTTACAATTCTCCATATAATAGAAAAAGTGTAGACACATATTTAGGGTAGGTAATAGTGAATGAGATATTTTCTTGAAAGAAAGTGGAAACCCCAGAAATAATCATTTCTAAGCTATGTAGATACCCACTGGCAAAATTGCTCCTAACTTCAGATTTAATATACTAATACACCAAGCAACGGGAGTACAAAAAGCAAGAGCAGATATCTTTAAAAGTCAGTCTTTAAGCAGGGGAAAAATGAAAGTCAGTGGAAAATATCTCACATAAAACAAAACAAAACAATAAAAGTCTCCAGGGGTAATAAGATGAGTTACAGCTAGAATGAATATTATGAGATATAGTCAACAAATATTTATTCAGTGTCAGCTCCACACCCACTGTTATGCATACATCTTCTTCTCGAGGTCATTTCTATTAGTTCGGTATATGTATATGAGCACGGAGGATACGAGAACAAGGCAAGGCAGGCTCGGCCTTAGATGCCCTGAGTTATCTGGCTACACTGGCTCTGCATCTTACTTTCCACAGGTTCCCCCAGAATACATCCCTTCTCTTTGCCTATAAAAGGCATAGGTGCTTCTGCACTTCCAGTATTTTTTCAATCTGATTTTTCATATTTTTGGAATAAACTTCCACTTTTCTTCTTTCTGTGTCAATGGCTATTCATCCTTCAGGGTTGTTTAACATCTTCCTCCCTCATACAGATCTTTTCTTACTCTCCTTATAAAAGACTACATGCTAGTGTTGACAAATTTAGGGGATATATAGCCTCCCAAATTTTAATATATAATATGTAGTTTTAATGCATATGTCTTTCATGCAATATTTGATCTTCTTGGACTAGAATTATTTACTAGAAATTATTTGATTTTATCTGAAATCAAATGTAACTTTCAGTTACTTACATTAGGAGTCATGTGGTAACACACATATAAAGAGGCATGAATCCATACCCCTAAATCACATACAGTATTTTTGAAAGTTCTGGATTTTTTCCAGCAAACTTCACTTTGACTCCTTAGTTTCTGTGTCCTTGAAGTCTCATTTGCAGTGGTCTACACTTCTACTTCAAATTGTCTCTCACATTTCAATTATGAAAATATTTGTGGGATTATTTTGCTTAATCGAGATCTCTTCCATTCAGTAGTGCCTCTGTGCTCATTGCACTGTAATTTTGGTAGCTGGAAAAGTGCCATACTTATAGTAAATGCTCAGTAACTTTGATCTGAATAAATGATGACATAAAGCCATGATCAAAATGCCAGTATGTTTGATTTGAAAGTCCACTGTTCTTTTTACCCATCTAGATGTTCATGTGTGGGAAATAGGTATGTGCCACTGATAAGTACATACGCATCACATACAATTACAAATAGTTATAGGTCTATTTTAAGTGCCATACGAACAATAGAAAAAAATACACCCAGATCAAAATCTCTTTGCTCAATTTTGATAATGCTAATTGTTTTTTCCCATTTTAAATATTTTATCAGTAAAATCATCAAAACTCTGGCATTCCATTTTATTTGATAGAATCTTAAATGCAGATCCCTGCAGGATAAGGCCAAGGCTATTTCCTTTACCAGGACACAGTCTCAATGTTGAAAATATGGTACTCAGTGTTGTTATGGGTTCTGTTCATGAACAAGAATTTCTAAACCATGCAAGGATGATTTAGTGATCCTCTATCTTGCCAAAGGCTTAACATTTCCAAATAGGCTTTTGCACAATGAAGTGTAAAGTTCATGAGCTGCAGTTGCCATGAGCTTTACATAAGCAACCTCTAGGAACTGATTCAACAGTCAACTCTAAAATTTTGCACAGCCAAGACCCACTGTGCTTCTGTCAACTTTGGTTAAACTGGTGGTATTATTTTTGTACAGAAAAGCAGAGAGTACTCAGGATGGTGTTTGCTATTCTCTTCTAAAAATTTCTATGAGAAAAGTGTTTTCACAGTTATACAAAACAGAGAAAGCTTCTTTTATTGCAGAATTAAGGCTACCAGAATAAGAGGGGGTGGGGAGCAAAGGCAGTAGGGGGCCTAATAGACTGTGGTGGAGGATTATAGGTGCTCCCATTATATTTTGTGATAGGAGTCATGTGGTAACACACATATGAAGAGGCATGAATCCATACCCCTAAATCACATACAGTATTTGCATCAACATAGCTTCAGTAAAAAAATAATACAACCTTAACAAAAGAGAAAGAGACCTTTTCTTATAGTGAGACCATTAATTGAAGACAGGGAGATCTGTCATATGCAAAAATCCAGTATTCAGATTTTCATGAAGGATATGTCCAGGTCTTTCATGTTGATGTACACAAATGAGAGACTTCAAATATTAAGCCCCAGCACACTGACCTTTGACGTCTCCTCAACGACTGTTGGATTTCTTTTACTTCCAGAAATGTCTAAGAGTCTAATGTTCTTCAACACTTAATTATGTTGTTCTCTTGGAGAAACTCCACCCACACCAGTTCCATAAGTAACTGGATTCTAAAAGCCAAACTGGTTTTGGTTGGAGTTAAGGTGGAGGACCCAGGACTGAAGGTCTTCAGGTCAAGAAAGGTTTCACTCCCTGCACGTACAGAGCAATTATTCTTAAGTGCCATACCTCCTTTTCACCATTTTATAAACAGCAAACTTAATACATGCTCTATTTACTTCTCATGTCTTTTTGAGAAAATGGAATGAGTTAATAAGTGTGAAAGCATATTAAGAAAGTTGAAAGTGCTAGACAGCTAGATGAGATTTATAATTCTCTCTGAACATGATGGTAACTTGTATTATGAGACCTCTATTTAGAAAGATAAGACCAAATATAAATCTACACATTCCAAAACAAGCAAAGGATAGAACTTTAAAAAGCAATTCATTCATTTTGAAAAGATAAACCTATTTGGAAATTACATATTATTTGATTTGTTTTCAGATCTGAAACAATCATCCATAATGTTGCCTCTAGCCATAATTAGTGTTAGAAACATAAGTCATTTATCAAATACATGCTGGCTAAATTATCAAGAACATTTCAGAAGAGACTGTGTCCAAAACTTTTCCACTAAAGAAAAATAAAGTAAAATACCAGTCCATAAAATATAGGATGTCATCTATTTCATCTTTTGTTAAGCTCTGTGGACAAAGTTTCTACTGAGAGTTTACTGTTTAATTAATATTTCTTAAAATGTGATACCAGAGAAGTGTTCAGAAGAACAGGTACACTTTCCTTAGGCATCCAGATGGGGAGACTGAGAACTGAGGTGAGCGTTCTTCCTTGTAGATCAGAGATCAGAGCCCAAATGTCTGATTCCTTAGCTATTCCTTTGTTGATGTCACTCTACTCACAGGCTTACCTTCAGAGTTCAGTAAAGATTATAGTTGATATTTATAAATTGCTCCAGATATGGTGAATTAAGCAAATTAAATGAAATATCATCTTAATAAATAGAAAAATAATTGGGAATTAAACTAGAAATTGTATTGTAGGATGGGTGTAGTGAATTTGGTTAGGGAGGTAAATAGGGGACATGGTCTGTGTGATTCTTATGAAATATATTGTTTAAATCTTTTAAAAATTATTAAGATCTTACCGTATTACTGAAGTCATCTATCATCTATCTATCTATCTATCTATCTATCTATCTATCTATCTATCTAGCATCTATTCCTCTATCTATCATAGCTACCTAGCTATATCATCTTTTGAGATATCAGGATCGATTTTCTAGCTATACATATAACTATAACATATAAGCAACTAGTATTCTATTGATTTGCTTAACAAATATTGAGTAGCTATTGTATATTAACTAGGCACTGAATATTCCTTGAACTTGTACAAATGAAAGAGACAGACTTTCTCAAGGGTCTGATGGTTAAGTGGAATGATTAAATTATGTGTCAATTAACAAGAAAACACAATTTCTCAGTAGTTCTTTGAAAATTATTGAGGCTTTTGCATAACATTATACTGGAAGAACAATCTCATAGACTTTAGAAATTAAAATATTAGAATGAAACATACATACTAATCTATATTTTACAGCACTCATTTAAATAAGTATAACATTTGTCTACTTTGGAAAATATGAATGCAAGAGAATTGTGGGACAAAAATCACTTATACTATATGTTTCAATCTTAAGAAACCACAACTAAAGTTATCTTATTACTTTCTGAAATTATAGTAAAATAAATGATAGCTCCAGGTACTTTTTCATGAGTTAAAAATAATGAACAAGGATATAAAAGCCAATACAGCATGAAAAGAAGCTGATGGAAAGTGGAAAAATTTAGAAGAAAATATGAATCATCTATAAAATGTCATCACTTGTCCTCATTTTAAGAAATTTAGACATATTACTTGAAGCCATGCCTTCCTCAAAAATTTTTTAATATATCTCCAACATATTCACTGCTTTTTTGAGTAAAATCTTAGATTAAATTAATCCTTGAGAGATTGGGAAAATTCAACACATAAAATCATGTGTATGTACTAGTGATATCAATTTTATCACTCAATTCATTTTTTTTTAAATAAAAGATGTCTAAAAAGTAGCAGCTTAGTTTCCAACCAGGTAGTTATGCTTGTCTGTTGAAGTAAACACCCAGTAAATTAAGACATCTCATATTACCAATGCTTTACCAATAAATGTCAAAAAGTACACCTCTTTTAACGAGACAAGGTAAAATCATAAAAAGTGACATTCATGTTCACATCTCTACTACAACCATCTGTTCTTAACAAATCTATGGCTTCCACTTAGTAGTAGAAATAGTTCTAGTCAGTGTTTGAAAGACGGAAAATATCTACCAATTTACTGAAAGGTTCTTAAAGATTATAAATAGCTAGGAATCTAAATTCTAATTTCTTTCTTCTCATTTCACTAAATTTTACCTTTCAATTCTGACATTGGCCATCCTATCAACAAAACTTGATGGGTTTTCTGAGATACCACCAGGTTTTCCCTGCTTAATATTTCTTTCATCAGTCCTCTTTATATCCTTTAATCATGTAAATTTACTATCACTTTTCTGTTTGTTTTACTAAATTCTTATCTAACATAGAGTTCTTTTTCCTGACTTTCATGTCTATACTAATAAATAGTAACCCTGATTGCCTTTTATGGTTTCTAGTATGGATTCGTACTTCAAAAATCTTAAAGATATTTAAACTTGACAATACTACCCAAATCTCAAATTCAGTATGCCCTCATTGAACTGACTGTCTCCCACCCAAACCAACACTACTTTCCAAATGTTCTAACTTTGTCATGGAAACCGCATTCAAATTACTGAATTCTTTACCTAGAACTTTGTAAGATTTGTATTTCCTATTTCAATAAAAACAGCCAAATTTAAAGGGAAAAAAAATGATCAATTGACTAAGACAAAAGAATTTCCAATTTAAATGCTTAAAAGGATTCTGTTGTATATTCTCAATGATAGAACTAAAGGGTGTGTGCATTACCTCAATGTTTCATTTGGAAACAGAAATTTTACACACCAGAGGAACTATTGATAGATCATTTTCAAAACTATTATTTGAAACACTATCCCTTCACTAAAGTAAAGGAAAATTAACATTGAGCTTAATACCCTACAGTTTTTTTTTCCCTTTTTATTCTTTTAGGTATTTAATCATTTCTCAATCTTTCAGGCACTCATTAAATATACCCAGTGTCTAGCCGCACTGGACATTTTAAGGGGCTCTATGTCTTTTCTATCATATGCATAGGCTAAGGAAATATTAGCCAGAAAGCCAGCATAACTACAGAGAAGGGAATATTATGTGTAAAAATCCGTGCAGTGTACTAACATCAACTCCAAATTAAACCAGCTAGAATCCAGAAAAGTAGAATGTTACAGATGGTGGTAACATAAGGTTTATAAAAACACTAAATGCAGTATTTCTAACAACATGCTTGTCTCCAATTTTTTTTTAAACAAATAAGTTTTGTACAGGTTTGTGTTTCCCCACCAAAGTCTATTTCAGCACACAATAGCTCTCCCACTTTGACCATCCCCCAGATCTAGAATTAAGTATCTTAAAGGTGCATATAGAATCCACAATTTCTGCAGTTGTTACAGCTTCCAGAATAACCAATGTGTAACCTTTTCTGAATATATATATATTTTTTTAAGTTCTTATTAGCCCTTTACCAGTTCTTTTTGTTCTCCTAACAGCTCATTTGGTGGGGGAGAGGGATATTGTTCAATAGTATCACAGCTGGTTTTCTCTAGTTGGTAACTACCTGCATATTACACAGGATTACACTTTTATTGCAAATACAAAAAATAGCCTTGAGCCACTCTGCTGTTTCAAGGATTTTAAAAGTTCTCCCTCATCAAGTATTGACTTTTTGCAACTTTTGCCACCAGGTGCAAATTGTATTTCAATGGCATGCTGATCTCCAGGAGAGGTTTGTTTTTATAGTCATTCTCCAGGGACACTGGATGTACAATGCTTTTTGTTCAAGAGTAGCTGATGCTTTGTAGAACTTTATGGAGACTAACAAGTCAAAGGTTGGCTCAAGGGACACACAACAGTCATACAGTTCTCCGTGAGAAGCAGCACCAATATTCCATCAAACCCAGTGGGAGACTGAAAGCATGCAATAGAAGTCACCCAGATTAAAGTCTGATGGTAGTTTATGAAAGATAATTAAGAGGTTTTGGGGTTTGTTTTTTTTTGGTTTTAATCACAGAATTACAATACAGGTAAACACTAAAGCTATATTTTAACTTTCATTTGTCTTGCAGTTTTGTGATAATACAATAAAATTCCTCAAATAAGAGATCTGCTACAACATGCATTTTATTCTTATAAGATTTATAATAAACAGTCCCTATTTTCTTTTTTTGTTTGTTTCTTTCTTTTTTTTTTTAATTTATTAATTTATACAAGCACTGGGTACAGTCAGAAGCGCGGGAGGGTGAGAGAATTCACCAGAGCCAGAGCGGGGAGCAGAGCAGGCAGAAGGACCGAAGTACACTGCTGAGGGGAGCAGCCGGTGGCAGGAGAGGTCTGCGCGCCATGTGGGACCCTCCTCCAGTGGCCGGGGAGCAGCAGGGGATCGACCCAGCTCTGCAGAGGCTGCGGGCAGTTTCTCAACCCAGCGCTCAACCGCTGTGCCACCGGGGAGGCCCAACAGTCCCTATTTTCTTTGTGTAATAATAGAAATAAAACACAGCAAGCATCAAACGCTGAAATAATATTGCTAATGAGAGAGAACAAGTTGTGATCATTTTGAGGCTTTACAAATTTTGAACTGAAGTGTTTTAATATACTAAAAATTACATATATATTTCAATAAAGTTTGCAGAACTGATCTACCCATGTCCAAAAGATTCTTATAAAAGTACATATAGATTTGGAGAGCATTTTCACATCAAACTCTATCAATTTTGGAGGGAAAAGTTTTAAAACGCAAAACAAGAAAAAACTTAGAAAACTGTTATTTTTATCATTTCAGTTCAGTTTAATTTTTATTTTTGAGTAACTACTCAGTGCCAGCCACTTAGCTAGGCATTGAAAATACATGCATAGGAATTTAAAGTCTAGTGAGAGGAATGGAAAAGTGAATACTTCATTCCAGTAACATATGGCAAATATAGA